GGAAAATCGCTCTCCTGAAGAACGTGGGAAAAAAGATAGAAAATAATAATATAATGGTGATGCGCTCCGAAACGTCGCTATCCGTCTTTGCACCAATTCGTCTTATTTTCTTGTTTCTATCTTTCCACATTTCTCTTCCTCTTCACGTCTCTTTTCTTCACGGCGCACGTGAGTACATTTTCCTCACGGTTTCTCACCGAGTCTTTGTCCCGCCGTCAGGTCCGCACGAAGTTGCACGCTTCGAGAATTGCGCGCGACGTTCATCTCGCGCGCTCGCAAGCCGCGAATCCTCTCTTTCAATTTGACGACACGCGAGGGTCAAGGATCGGGAACGAAAGGCTCTTTGTGGGCGAATGTATCGCCTCGTTGCTTGCTTTCGGTCAGGTAGGTTAAACTCGCCTCCGCTTTGTTCGCGCTTTCGTTTCAACGTTGCGGCGTGAATCCGGCGAATAGCGAATCGTGACGATTGCATTAATTTCTCTCCGATGTACTCCGACATTCGAAACAATCCTGCTTACGTCCTACGTATAGTTTTCTTGCAACATACAATGTTGAGACAGTGATATATTTACCCTTTGTTCGTGCGATATAAAAATTTGCCTACAAGTTATTTTTGGTATTTTTTAATTTTAATTTTAATTTATTGATATATAGAATTCAAAAGAAATTAAATAAAACATTTTTGGGGGCTTTTTGCCCCTTTTATCCATGTTTATTATTAATTTATAATTATAAAATTATAATTACAATTGTATATATCGTATCATAAGATAAAAGTATTCAATACAAAGTTATCAATGTTGAAATTAGTGCTCCAGAAAATTGCCATCACCGAATGGCAGGAACTCGCAGGAACGACTCGAAACGATGGTGAATCCCGATCGGAACACGCCCACTTTTTCGCGATTCCAATTAGGCAGACCCTCTCGCAGGGCTTGCTGGGTAGTTGATTGGCGTTGGCTAGACAGTGGTGGAAATTAATGAAGACAATTGGAGGTGGAATGTATGGACGACGACCAAATTCATTTTTACACTTACGCGGAAATCACTTTGAAGATTGCTGCTCGAACATATTCAACCGATATCTTATCGGTGGCAAAGTGTCACTAAAATTTATACAGCATTTTTATCGCTTTAAAAAATCTATTCTTTAAATCCTTTGAATTATCGCAAATTTATATATTTAGCGTTCAGCTTTGATTTTTTATATCTCTAATAGAAAAGAAATATATTAAGAAATTAAGTCCTGTTAATAATTAATCAAATTCGATTTCTATTTTATAATGCAGCACAAAGAGCAACGTTAATTAAATAAGGATTGGCGTCGAATCAACATTAATCACATATCAAATTCCAAGTAATAACATTTTAAATCCGGCAATATCCCACACTCGCCCCCGCTCATCGATAAAGGATGGCGATCACGTTTTCCCACTATTCTTCACCGTTATTCCTCTGTTGCAATACCGGGCCGACGGAGGATCGCCGAATAATACACGCGTTCAATAACATATCGTTTGGAACGATCCGCTGTGACGATCGCGTAGAGAAGCGTGACTATGTAACGAGGCTCGATGTCCATTGCGTAGTACTTTCGAATCTCAGGACGGGTCAACCGGCGAGGTGGCATACATATTCATGCCGAGTGTTTACCTAAGGCCAGAAAAGAACTGTTAAGAACCGAGGCGAGGTATCACATTAATACGAGGGTACTCGAGGGATCCTACGAATACGTAGGTATATGCAAATGACACCGTTCCCGAGCGGAGGGACGGGGGAGAACTCTTAAATCACACATCGGGACTACCAATAACACGCTCGGAGCCGGCGCGTACGCGTAGAAGAAGCGTTCTTTGTGTTAGAGAGAAAAAGACAGACGGAGAAATCTAATAAAAAAAGGCGATTTTATAGCTCTCGGGGTGCTCGAGAGTAAAAAGAATGCCAGCGTCAGCAACGAGCGACGAAACGATGGAAAAATGCCGGATTATGGCCGAACTTTCACGATTAAGAGGAAGCCGCGCTCGCCGGATCCCTAACCCGTCGGTCGCAATAATCGGGCGAATAAAAAATCCCCGTAGAGGGGAATGAACGGCCGGGCGGGGCAAGAAGTTAAACACATTTGACTATGTGTTTCGGCGGAAACGACAATAAAGCTGCTTTCGCCCGTATCGTCTCCCCCGCGTACATTATCGACGTCGACGACGACGACGACAACGACGGTCAGGAAATCTCTTGTTCTTGCCTTCCTCTCTCTCGTTCTCTTGCTCTCGAGAAAGAAGTCGGGGCGAAAGGAGAACGGCGCGTTTTTATCACGAGTAATTCAGGCTGCCACGTACATATACGGTCTCTAATAAATTCGTGAATGGCCACACCGCGAACGAAACGTCCTATACGCCCACGCGTACTTTTACATACACACATACAGAACACACGTACACACACACTCATGTCCCCTTCGCATGCATACGCGTTCTCGGCTCGCATAGGGTACCGGATCGACCGACCCGATGGGGGTACCCCGGGGAGAAGGCAGGATAGAGAGAAAGAGAGACGGAGAATGTGAGAGGGAGCGGATATTATCGCCAAACGTTAATTTGGCCGAGGCCCGGCCTACCTTCCAATTTTCGAGCCCTTACACGCCCACTTACGAGATTGTCCGTTAACGCTCCGAAACGTCGGGACGCGCATATTCGACGCCCGCGTTTCCCGGTTGTAACAGCGTCGTCGTGCGTGTCCCCCGTGACAAGCGTGACTCGCGCACGCACGGGTTTCTGCGAGGTTTATATCAAAATTGAGGATCGTATCGTTTGACAAATTTGCGGTCGACCTACCCTATCATAATCCCGTAGCCGAGGACAGAAGGAATTAAGTCTGAAATCACCGGTTTCGATACATTTATATCTTTATAAAAATAAATGCTACAGGTACAATAAATCCAATTGAAGATTCTAGAAATACGATTAAAAAGTTTTGCGCTCTTGTCAAAAAATAGGAAATACACAGTACGTCACAGCTTATATTAAGAATCATAAATTCAACATTAAAACTGGAGGAGTTTAAGTAAATTAAGCTTGATAACAAAACCTTAGATTTAGGTATGGGAAAATGATAAATGGATACGATTTGCGGCTTATATCATCCGTGACTATGCTCGATCCAACCGCGGAAGCGCACGTGAGATAGCAGAGAATACGAATAAGCAACAAAAATGTACGCTTTACCACGTCTGTAGCGTGTACGTGGTGGCGATTCGGATGAACGCTAAATACATAAGAACGTGTACACCAACACGAAAGCAAATGTATATAAGAAAGAGCGAGAGAGGGAGAGAGAGAGAGAGTAAGGGAGAATAAATACGATTACGCCTGTAAAGCTCCACGTCGCGGCTTGGATGCGTTCGTGATGCGCAAAAAGTAGATGCATCGGACGGTACATGCATCTATAAACGCGTAAACGCGAACGAGGACGGGGCTCGTATAAGTGAAAAACAGCAAAATAAGAAGCGGCACAATGCCCAGCGTCCGCAACGCGGTAAAATACATTGTTGTTCGATGAAATTGGAACACGAGGAAACAGATAAGATATTTTTGCACGTGTACTATATAATAAATGATTATATTTTAGAAGACGTATTTTTTTTTATCAATCAATAAACATTTATAGAAGTGTATAAATAAAGCAGCAAATAAATGTATAAATAATATTGATGGAGTCTTGTTGAAGAAAGATAGATAATATTGATAAAGTGATACATCAAACTCCTTCGCGATTTAATTTCTCATTTCACTGAATGGTTATGTGATTCTCATCGATTCGCGAATTTGAAATAAATCGACGCGAAATAGGGAGATGTCGTCGTTGCGTACCTCGACTTACGGAGCGCGTATTAGCGTGTGCGAGAATGCTCGCGGTAAGAACCGGTTATATAGGAACCATCCGCCACCTCTTCTCTCTCTGCACCTTCTCCTCTTCTTCCTCTGCTTATCCGCCGACCTTTCGTTCCTCCATCCTCACCGGCAAACCCACCGGCTACATAATGCGGCAACTCTCGTATGTGTGTGTGTGTGTGTGTGTGTACGTGTACGCATGTACAACCGCTAGCTAGTGCATACCCGCACGCGTAAACGTACGGGGTGTTTGAGCTACTGAAGTCAAGTTATGCAAAAACATAATCCCTTTGGTGTATAAAGACAAAAGGTTTTCGGCAAATCGAGCTTGAAATAGATTAGTAAAAATTAATTTTCTTTTTCTATTTCATGCAAATTTTTAGTGAAATATTGGTATAAATTAAATTATAGCGATATTAATGTTAAACATTGTAATGTACTAAAAAAGATAATGACTGGTCAATTTTTTATTTTTGAAAAAATTATGGAAGAAAATTGTAAGTTATTTCTGAAACACCGTGTATAAGGACTGGTACATACACTTGCGCGATGCTTCGACACCATGGGCGCCTGCCTATCTGACGTTGGGTGCTTACGAGGGCGAGTTCGCGTCTTTTCTTTTTCTCCCTTTCCTGACCTGGCTACCGACAGGCCGTAGGGACGCCGCTGATCTCCCTCGCCCCTCTCGCACTCCCGAGACTCCGCCGAGGCGTCAGCATCTCGCGAATGTTTCACGGATAGTCCTGGAATTCGCTGCGCGAAAACGGCGATGTTGCGTTGCATCGCCGTACACTGCCGGAAATACGATCTTCGATAAGCAGTCGCTGTAGGCTCTCGAGGCTTGAAAGTAGACTTTTAGCGAAATGTGTGTAGAAATGTATATTTGAGATCTGAGAAAATGCGTCTACAATAATCATTTCTTTAAGTCCACTGATTATCAAAATATATGATAAGTGATATATGCAAACAAATATTAGTTTGTTATAATAAATTTTTATCGTATATGGAACAAATAATATTTTAACAGTACTTATTATTGTTATGTGATTAAAATAAAGTAAGAATGATATCTTCGATCGAGTTGCTTATGAATCTATTTTTCTTCTGTTACAGATTTCGAATAGACAACACAGATCACATAATCGATGTGAACAAAAATAATGCAGCGTTCGAGTACGATCAGGTCAATCTAATATGTCCTGTGTACCCGGACATGTATGTCGATGATGATACGGAGAAGTACATCATCTATAATGTAAGTTAATTTTTGTATAATACTTATTTTAATTTATTGTAATAATTAATAGCGCACGTTAGAAGTTTATACCAATTGGCAGAAATGATACTACGTGAATATCTTATAATATATTATTATTATCTTATTTTTTAATCGTTCTTTGAAAAATTTATTGCACTTTCCATCTTGATATATTTATTCGCTAGATAGAAAAATATAACGCGATGCCTTGCCAGTCAAAGCAAGGATAAAAAATTGTCGATTAGAGTCTGCCAATGTTTAGACAGCTGCTGCTACTTGAAACTGGTTCTTTAACCCGCTTTCATTATATTCCCAAAACGACATCCGCTCCTCAAGAAGTGTACTATGTTACCGAAATGTAGATTAAACTGAAAGAATTATTAAACACACACATCTGTACAAGTACGTTGCGCAGACCTCGCGACCTTTTCTATTTTTAATCCTTATTCGATACATTTGATTCTATCAATTGATTTTATCTTTGGATAAAAAAAGTTACATCCATGAAATTTAGTTTATTCATCGCTTAATTATTTAATCTCAGTTATTTGCTAATTTGCTAATTAATTTACCACAGAGTCTAATTATTATTTTTGATAAAAAATAATTCTCCTTCAAAACTAACTGTTGCCAAGATAAAAATTTCGTATCACTCTTTATGTTCTTATAAACTTTTGTTTACTTGAAAAATAATTTCGAGTATTGTGGCAAATTCTCGGCTTTTGCAGATGTAGTCATCAGACATTCTAGCAGCATTCACCCTCTTGAGCGAAGCAAAACTTCTCAAAGCATCATTCCTGCGTTGGAGGCGATCTAATCGCTTCGGTCCACTTGATTGCTCCTCCACCCTCCGTCGTTCATCTTCTCATTGTTTCCGTCATTCTTCCTACGCGACGATTAGGTTCGACAATGAAGCCCTTTTCCGCAAGAGAACAGGAAAAACTCCTGTACACTGTACAGGAGTTGTCTGTTGTCTGTCAACCCCTCATCTTGCAGAATGCCTTATTTTGATATAAACTTTTCATTTGTATCACGCATCTTTATTATAGATTTTGATATTAATCAAAAATGTTAAGGATATTTCTATGCTTCTGATAAACTGAATTTAATCTCGCAAACTACACAGATAAATATTATTTACAAATAAATTATTATTATTGTTAGATAGGTCTTTCTATATTTTATATTTTATTCATAAAAGTATACACATATATACGTGTCATGATAAGAACATGTATACTTAACATAGACGTCTGCGGAGCGCGAAGCACAGAAGACTCGTTTTTGCCACATGTCGCTACGTCAATTTTTCGCCGAATTATAACGTTGTAAAAATCCGACGTTGACGCATCGTCTATGCGTGTACACGTGCGTTGTGTAATATGTGCGTGCATTACGCAATGTTATGTAACGATTATGGTAAACTGGTCAGCTGGTCAACAGTAGTAGCACGTGCTCTATATAGGTCATTCGCTTATTTAGTCATATTATTGCGACATCGTCGGTCAAAATCGAAGTTATTTGAGATTTCACTCGATAAGCGATACACATAAGTGTTGAACTTTCATAGAGAAAAGTTATAATGAAAAACTAAGAGTTCAAAATTATTTACCTCGAGTGATCGATTTGTAAGATATCGATTTACCATACAAATAAAGTCCTTTCAATGCAACAGCGAAAAAAAAACCGCGAAACGGCTGCTATTAATTAGCGTGCCAAATTTTAAGATTAGAATACTCTAGTCGCGATTTGACATGAGACAAGATCGTGTCGCTTGATATATTTTCGCAGTCGCAATGAGCATTTTCAAGACATCGTATATAATGCTGAGACGGCAGCTTTCACAGTGCATAGTCAATCAGCGATTAATGTCACTGCGTCGCGTCGATTGTGCCGTCGCAAATGTCTGCAGGATTTTTTTCGGATTACAGGTGTCCAAGGAGGAGTACGAGACATGTCGGATAACGAATCCCAGTCCGCGAGTAATAGCGGTGTGCGACAAGCCGCACAGAATGATGTACTTTACCATCACCTTCAGGCCGTTCACGCCACAACCCGGGGGCCTCGAGTTCCTCCCGGGCCACGATTACTACTTCATCAGCACCTCGTCCAAGGACGATCTCCACAGGCGCATTGGCGGACGGTGCACCAGCCACAACATGAAGGTCGTCTTCAAGGTCTGCTGCAACAACGAGGCCGAAACCTCCTCCTCGGCGACATCGCGTAACAACTGTAAGTATTTCGAACGGACGTTTTTCGTGGCGAAGAGTCGAAGGGTACAAGAATCGATTGTTAGAGGCAGAAAGGACGAGTGTATCTAATTAAAATGAAATATTTCTGTTTTACTTATAAAATAATTACATAAACGGACGGATCTTTTCTTGTCTTTTTATCATTGAAGATTCGCCACCGCATGACGATTCGTTGCGTGGGTTCACTCGCGTGCGCTTAACGCGAAACAATATTCCGAAATACGAGTCGTCGCTTCCCATGGAAGCCAACGCGCGCGGTGGCAATTATATTCTAATTTCTCAATTATCATAATCTGAAATTACAGGCGTCGTTTGCGCGAGGGACACCGCCTTTTCATTTCGCGTGTAAATCACGTTCTTAACTCTTCACGCTTTCTCATTCCGCGCGACCCTCCCAGTCGAAGACGCGCATCCTGAAAAAAAAAGAGAAACATAAACAGGGAAGGAAGCTCAGGGAGACGAAACAGAAATGGGTCATAAATTCATTATCCCGTAATCAGTTACGTGAGGCACGGCTACCATAACGGACGATGTACTCGTTTGTTTCGCGCGTTAGTTCGCCTTCGAGCTCATTTCCCCTTCGCCGTCCTATCCATCTCCTCCCCCACGTTCGTCCCGTCGTCTCTCTTTCGCTCTTAAATAATCCCTATCGATTATAATCCTCGCCATGCGTTATTTGTTGCGGTCGGGGGGACCCCGACGCTGCGTCCTGTAGCACAATAAATTTGACCATTTCATTTCACCCTGCTATTCTCTCCCCAATTCGTTCCGAAGCATCCTCGAAGCGTCCTCTCGTTTCTCCTTCGGCCTCCTCGTTTTCTCCTCCTCCCCGTTCCCCCTTTCTCTTCCTGCCACCTCCGCCCCGGCAGAGACGATTCATGCGCCATAATGACTAGCTATTTCGCCGGCCGGGAACTCTGAACTCTCTCTCTCTCTCTCTTTCTCTCTCCGCCTCGGCGTCTCGGGCATTGAAGATTCCACAGCGAGACCCGACCTCGCGTCCACGGTAGACGTCAAGAGTTCGCGCGCGGCTACTTCCATACAATTATATCACTGGGAGGCGCGTACCTTCCCAGCCGCGAGTTTTATTTCCGAAGGGTTAGCAGGTACAGCGTCAAGTTATGCGTTTGGAATAATACGGTAACGATCGACGGGCTCGCGGTGGGAAAGTGTGAATATGACGAAGAGTGCTTTTCCATATATTCAATCGTAGTTTCTGAAATTGTTTATCAAAAACGACGGCGTTTTCTTGTGCAATTTTTTAATGGTGTGTTATTTAAGAGGAAAAAAAAGAATTTTTTATACAAAATTTAAATGTTTAAATAGAATAAGTCAATCAAAATTATAAAACAATTTTATAATATTAAGAAATACATTATAAAGAAATTGATCAAGAAAAAATATATTTAAATGCTTGAAAATAGCGCAAGTAGAACTAGAAATAAATCTTTTGCAATAATCTAAATAAATTCTAACTAAAAAAAATTGTCACGATTAACTTTAGCTTTTCCTTTCAAAATATGTTCAATTACGTCAGCACACAAAATGGTTTTTTTTTCTTAATATTTATACATATAGAATGGTACATATAATGTTCAATTCTAAGCCTCGACGATAAGATACATTATATTTCAAGCAACCAGTTTATTTCAGCGTAAAAATGCGAATCTTCTGTAACAAGCTGCACCGCGAGCAGACTCGATCTCGTTCCGATGTTCCGTAACGACGGTCAGTCGCGCTGTTAACCGCCGTCGATTATTCTTCAACACCTGCGCGACTCGCGATCGAGCCGCATGGAACGGCGAAGAGGAACGCGTAATCACTAACGCCATTCGTTTTCCAGCCGTAGCCGTGACCAGCAGCACCGTGCCCAGCAGCAGCTCGACAAGCACCGCGGTTTTGGGCGGTGGATCCCCCAGACTGCCGCCCCCGCAGCAGCCGACCGTCCACAGGGGCGGAGATTATTTCTACCCGGTGGGCACCAACGTTCATCATCATCACGATCATCATCAAGCAGGCACGGCGGCGCCGACTCACGTGCCCCCGCAGGTCATCTACCCTCCGCATCCGCATCAACCGCAGCCGCCGATTCACAATGGATCGCCGTCCTCGCCGCCGATCACGCCGCCCAAGACCTCGACAGGTCAAAAGAAGAAGAACAGTACGTATCACGCCGTCGCGTCACCGTCACGCTCCGTCCATCTGTCTATCCGTCGGTCTCGATTGACAAAATTTCGTTTTGGAGGTCTCGTTTTCTCGCGTGGCCTCACTTTTGTGTTTTTTTCATATTTTTTATATGATCTAGTCGATTGGTACCGGACTCACATCGAGATACCGATCGAGATCCTGTAGAGTCATCGGGCAATTTATGAGAATCAGACTAGTCTGTTATTTTCTTTTTGTTCGACCGAAGAGTACTTGTCATAATTAAATCACGCTTCAAAATGAAATATGTTATAATAATTATTAACGATCATTGCAAATTGTTAATTGACAATCGGAGCGTCGGCGATGTCGGGTATGTCAATTTGGTTTCTTTTAATACACTTATTCAAATCTCTCTCTAATGAACGAATATCTATTAACTACGATCTTCTATTACCTTTCAATATCCAGGCCAAATTATAGTAGAAATAATAATGACCGTCAATTATTGCAGATTGTATTCTTCTTCATTTTGTTTTGCGCTCTCATTCTAACTCATTATTTCCTTCATAGCTGACATGTCTTTCCGATTCTTCCATCGCATAATGTTTTCGATGATAGATATCTATTTAGCGCCGCATTTATAAGATAAGAGTCAGATCTCCTTATTGTTCATTCTAAATGTGTAAATACGCGCGTCTTCGCGTACACCAGCCGGCAAAGCGCAATGTCAAGATCCAATCGAGGTGATGAAAACTGGCCGAAAGCCATCTGTCGATCTTGGTATTGCTCGCTCGTCTTTGCGTCGACGTTTACGATATAATTTGACTTCTAAATGCGCCGCGTACGCGCACGCATTTACATTTCGCCGATAACCTGCGTGCGGATAGCCGCTCAGCCATTAACGGCGCCGTGTTTCCGAAGCACGACGCGATAGGGAATACATGTTCCCAAGAGGGATTTCGTCTCTCTCTCTCTCTTTCTCCCTCTGTTTCTAGCGGTTTTGCGCGAAATAATAATCAATAAAATTTGAGATCTGAACCCTCGTGCAATGATATCTTATACCTCGATGTAATTCGATTCATAAATTTTCCATATCCTAATTATTTTATCTTTTAGGATCAAAGTATGAATAAAAGAAACTGAAAAAATTTAATCAATATTCTATACAAAATATGTGTGTGTCATTTGAGAATTTTTAAGAAATTGAAATTTAGTCTATCGATGCAGAGGATGGGTTCACCTAGCAAGAAACATATAGATTGTATAATTAATCGTATTTCTTATTTTCCAATTTTCAACCTCAATCAAAAAATCTACTTGTCTAATGTCTCTCTCTCTCTCAATTTTATAGAATTTCTTTTTCTCGATACACTATTATCACTCGTCAATCGAACGAAAACCAGTGGCTAACACGTGATTTTTTATGTTTCACAGACGAGTACTCAAACCATCCGAACGAGGTGGTGAAAAACGAGGAACTGACGTACAACGGCGCGAGTTCATACGACTCGCGAGTCCGATACGCACAGAGTCTGATTCTGGCGATGAGCAGCATGCTGATGAGCGCGTTGCTGCAGCAGCTGCTGCGGTGAAGCGACAGCACCGACCATGTACGAGAGCATCGTATATCCCATGCGTCGAAACCCCTTCTTCTGTGATTATCCTACGTTTAATTGATTTCTTGAGAGACGCGCGAGGCACACACGCGCGTTCCTCGGCCGTCCCTCGATCGTAGTGAAACGCACGATCCACGGTCGCGCCGACTCGAGAGACAGCAGAGAAGAGAGAAGTTGACGGAGAGAGAGCGAAAGACAAGACGAAGAGCGATAGAGAGACAATGTCGAGAGAAGAGACACGCACGACACACGAGCGGCAACGCCATATTAACTACAATTAACGAACCAGCGGGGTCCCAGGGTGTAATACGGCATTATGACAAAGATGACGAGGGTTATAGAAACGAGAAGTAGGAGAGAAAACGGAGAAAAAAAAGCCGGAAAGAAGAACGCTACTACTAGACACTACTTATAATACACGCCCACTATTATCACTACTATAAATGGTAGTCGTATTGGTTGTCCTTCTTATCATTATGCTAACTGTAGGTATTTATTCAAATATGTGAAAGACGAGAGCGCGGGAGTCGTGGCAGCGTGCTAAGTATCCTCGAGCGAGAACGAAACGAAGAGAATGTCTAGCGTGTACTAGTAGCAGAGCTACGATGCGAATCCGTCAAATCTTTGATTCAAAGCGCCGCGAATTCTCAAATTCAGGAAAAAATGTCGCGTGTTGGCTCGGTTAACGACGACGAACGGTCCTTCGTTAAGGGGTCCTCGCCCGGGACCGGCAAGGACATAGCTTTTTCTGAGCGCAATCGTCCGAATGCGCCGTGCTTTGAAAAAAAAGAGTACCTGAAAATCCTTGTATGTTTTTCGGTTCGCGGCCGCAAAACGGTAATAATCCGGAACGATTGCGATCTTTATCGCGAAAGCCTCCCGGAAATCACGTAAAAACTTCAACTCAAAGTTGCGATGCACAGTAGTTCCTCGATAATCGGACGACTCGCCGGGCAAAGAATCGAAGAATGAAAAGATTCGTATGGGAATAATCGTGTTTCTTGCGCGACGTTTAAGTTCGGACCGATCGCTGCATCCGTCCGGCCGATCGCAGGACGCCGAGGACGAAGGATCATTCGAGTTCGCGTGCGACATCGTGAGTAGGATAATTAGCACGCGTGTAAATAAATTCCTAATGAATATGTACAAGTGGCTCCCGCGGCCGCCTTTGCCGACGGGCAGCGGACGGCCGGGGAGATTTAAGAAAGAGTGCCGTATTTCTAGGTAAAATCTTATAATATGAGACGAAAGAGAGGAAGTGTGTGTCGGAGAAAGTATGAACGAAAGTATGTGTATTATGCGATTATTGTGCGAACTGTGTGAGAGGATCGTCGAACAAAGCAAATCTCCGTCACGATGGTCTAATTATTGTCGCAAGTCAACGACGAACACATAGCGTATATCGTTGACTCGAGCTGTTGAATAAAGAAGATAGCGGAAAGAAAGAGCGAGTGAGAGAATAGAGAATAGCGCGCGAGAGAGACTGAGCCGCGAATCGAATAAGAGAATAGATTTGTATAATAGCTGTACCATACCGAGACTTCTATCTATAGATCTGTATTATATTTATTATCCGCTATCATTACGCTACGAATATTCAACACTCGATATTCTATATTTGCTAGTGAAACGTCAAATTTAATAGCGAACAAATTAATGTACCGCTGGCGCTGGGGGTGAAGCGGTGATCGCGGCACGAACGAACCCCCTGGGCCAATCCCCGTCGTTTGTTGTTTTCCTCGTTCTTCATTTCATTCTAATCATTGTACACGAATAATATTTCCATTGCCCGTTCGATCATGTTTTCTGATTTATTGACTTTTTTTGTTTTCTTTTATTATTATTCTATTTATTATTCACTACCAGAAAAAGACTCGAGCGTGCGTATCATCGCATGGGCGCGTATACACGTTTCATGCCATACTTTATCATTTACGCAATATTCGGCAGCATCGTGCGCGTTGAGAGCGGGATCGCGTATACGCGCGCTCGTTACGCGCACACGAGGACGAAGGACGAAGCAGTGAGTAATTTTTCGTTCGTGTCGGCCAGAAGGGAATATTGCAAGCGCGACTGCACTAACGAATTATTGTAAATACGAATTTATGCGGGAAGTGAGTACCGTGTCGAGAGGATGTGTGAGTGTATATGTGTGTGCGTGCAAGAGCGAAAGAGAAAGAGAGATCCTTATTCAGAATCCTTAGATAGCGAAACGGGAATCCTTAAGAAACGTCGAAGGTTGCATAACACGGTCCGACTCGCTTTCAGAAATTTAATTCACGGTACATCGAACTCTACTTGCGTCTGCGACCGCGAGAGCAGCACTTTGTTTGCGATCAATCGAGAATTGTGAACACAGCGGATATTCAGCTACATCCGAATAACATTATCCATGTAGTATTGTAAATTTAGGTATCACATCTCCGCTACTCACTCTTGTCCGTTCGCCTGTTTGTATTTATACTCCTTGTGTGTTGTATCCTTGCAATTGCGACGAGCGAATCGATCGACGCAAATCTTTCACGATTCCAATCGCTTATTATTCCGAAACTCATATATATTACTTTTTTTTTAGGCAAAACGCATTCGCAGACAATTATCGTGTCACAAAATATTCAGTGTTTATCAGGATAAAAACTCATTTGCGTTACAAAACTGATTTTCCGGCTTGAAATCTCCTGATAGCATTTTAAAATCTTGTTTTGCGGGACTTGCGGGAAAATTTCACTTTGCGAACGCTCTCGCACGTTACAATCGCATTGTTGGGAATCGTGAAAATATTGGAGACGATAGACCGCGAGTCGCAATTACTGCTTCAAATCACGATGAAGGAAGAAAAATGCCGCTTGGATCGATTGTTTGCGTAAAGTGCGATATACGCAGAGGCAGGTGGAATCACGTGAATGGTACTCATTCGCACGGGCGATAAGTGAATGCGCTATAACAGTAATATAGACTCGAAGTATTCGACAATTCTAGAAAATAGACAAGGTCACTCACTGCAAATTCATTTTTTCTTTTTTATTTTATTTCCCTTTTTCTTTTGTTTCGTTTCCGCCTCCCACCCGCATCTACACACCACATCACGTTCCATGCCTGCAGATTGCACGACGTGAGGCGTCCTGCTGCTGATGAAAAAAAAAATGTATTTTTTTAACAACAGATAGAACGTATCTCCGGTGGGTTTGTTTGTTCAGAGACATATGTAAATAGATGTAACGTGTATACATGCGGATCTATACCGCCGTGTTAACGAGTCAGATCTATATTGCAGTCCGCGCGATCTGTGGACCTGTCGATGCAGTTTAAACACGTGTAAATAAACGTCCGAAGTAGAATTAAAAGGAAAAAAAAGGAAAGAAAAAAAAGGGAAAACGAGAAAACAGGATACGCTTCACGTCTATCCCGAGGAAAACCCCAAGTTCCCCGCCTGCTGTTACGTTCGACACTTCATTTACGTAATCATCCACTCGTGTGCGTGTGTAAGAACAAGAAAGGATGCCCGACGAGGTACGCGCGGGTGTCCCTCGAGCGAATGAGAGACGTCGCGCGTATTCTCACTCACATTAAGGAAAAAGAAACTTGTTCCTCTCTTCTCAAGATCGACGGTAAAATATCCACCGCGCCGACGATAAGCGGCCGCGCGGCTTATAATGAATTAATTGATTAACGTAAAAGAGCGAGGATAAAGTGAATTTCGTAGATATGCATCTTTGTAAATAAACAAATTAACGGTTAATAACGATAAACACGATGAAATTTATATTAAAATGCATAGCGAATACGAGATAGGTTTCTAATAACGATTTATTATAAAAATTAAAAAAATGAATGTATGTTGATGTCTAAGATTTTTAACAAGATGGAAGACACACACGGGGCGGTTAATTATAAACTATGATTAAACTATTCATAACCGAAGACACACGAGTACTAATTAAAGCAGGTTCGAGTGCGGAGCAACACTTAGCCAGATCGTGATTTCTCATGTTGCATATATTATTTTGTAACCGGAGCGTACAGGATTCATACATTCTCGACATCACGGCTATCATACGCGGTATTTCATCTTAAAATTAAAGTTGAAACTTTTGGCACGAGCAAAACACTACAATAACAGATAAATTCAAACAAAATTTTAATTATCTTCCTTACGCTAATTGCGATATATCTCGATAACTGTATTTGTAGATTAGTTTTGTTCGATCTGATCGCGTAATTCGACGCATTTTTATAACAATTTATAGCAACAGATGCGCATTATACATTTTTATGATCATTTCACCGAGTGCCGAGTGTATTTTGTGAATAATTTTTAAAAGATCCCTCGTTTTCGCGCCGCCGCATATGGTATCCTTGGATCGGGAACCTTATAGATTGCGTGTGTTCACCAGTATGCACATTCAATACAGTACCAGTCGTTTCATTACAGAAAGCATTACAGAATACAATACAAAGTAGCGTAGCGTTCATAACGGTAGTCCACTGTAGCGAAATAGTATTTAAACAAGCGACCATCAGGTTGCCAAAAAAAAAACAGGAAAAATGCCATAATCAACCAAAAAAAATTGCAGATAACAGTACGTAAAAGAGGGGATTTTTTCACAGAGAGAGAGAGAGAGAGAGAGAGAGAGAGACATATAGACACAAGATACACACTATGTCACATAGCACGGAGCTATCGCGAAACTGTGCGATGCAGCGAGAGATTGCATACGCGTGATAAGGAGAGAAAGAGAGGGAGAGAATGGGGCGATGAGAGAGATAGAGTACGTGAGTAAGAGCACAAAGATAAGGTGAAGCACACGATATATCTAAAGCTGCATTCATGTAAGCGCAATGTGCACGCACGCAGCGCAATGCATGAAAGACGAGGGGCGGGCAAGATGTACGTGGTCCTACGCGAGGAAAAAAAAAAAAGAGAGAGCGTAGGCTCGTCGGTGTTACACAATTTATGTAGGTATATTCTATATGTATGTCGATATATAGCAAAGTATATCGATGGCAAACGAAAGTAATTACAAAGAAGGAAGAAGCGGGAAAATCGTGCGTTAAGCTGAGGGACTAGCTGCATCGTATTTTGTTTCGAACGCGCGAATCATCCCTGTTCATTGAAAGAGTTTGGAGACAAGGATCAGGACGGTACGGAAAAATCCTGAGAGCGTAGTATTTTTTGCAAAAATAATACCGATTGCATTGATGTTGAGAATCACAGCTTGCTTATTTCGTACTTTTTGTGAGAATTTGTTATCGCAACGAATAATATAAATTAGGATTGCACAACTCTAGCAGTTAAGGAAAGAAGCATTTAATGTATATCAATGTTTATCTTCTATATAAATATTTAATAGAAATATCTGTAATTACGTTTCATAATGTTTTTGCAATTTATAGTAAATTGAGAATTCTTGCTCCAGAATGCGGACCGTCCTGCCTTGCAATCCTTCTGTTAGTACAAAAAAAAAAAGATGATCAATGTATGATACACAGGATCCACTCACAGGATCATTTGTGTCACGGACAAGAAACAGCATCTGGCACTAGTTCGTCACTTCGATAATGCAAGCTCTAGTCTGTTTTTCTACTTTAATTGTTCGTTAGTTGGTCAGGAAATGTCCTAAATTTGGCAAGAGAAAGTCCGCTTCGTAAAATATATAAATTTTATCATAATACGTACAATAAGAAGCACTTTATTGAAAGGAAGAATGTTACGTTGTACAGAGAGGATCTCTCGGAAAGATGATTTATACTCGAGCATATTAGCAACTATACATATCGGTCTCAAACATGTTGAACATTTTATTGGCCTCAAATCGTTCCTAAATTTTATTTATTCAATTTCTTCTCGTCTTAATTGAATGTTTAAATCTGATCTTTATATATTACGACGTAAGAAGAGGCCTAGCAATTTTCATCTAAAAGAAATGTTTTACATCACAGTATTTCTGCTATTGTTACTAAATCTATAATTAAAACACGCTACTAACAAAGCTCAAATAATTTTTTTCGAGATAGTGTATATGTAATATATTTTTCATTGCGCGGAATATGAATGAATTGACAATTGTCCCACAATCTACTCGAGAAGCAATTACTGAAATAAAAACTGCCATATTCAATAGTTACTGTCAATTTCTAGTTCAGCGTTTGATATGTTATTAGCAAGGGAAAGAGACAGGTGGAATCCGAAACAATTCATAACAAGACCAATGATTGTCTCAGTACGTCCTAAGAATAAAGAGATATGTTTTTCACAAGTATAACTAGTACCGCATGCGTTTTATAAAACAACGAATCTTTTATTGATAAATGACTCGTTTTCGCTGGAGGCTATGCAATACTTTGTACATCCGAGGTTTATGGCAATCTACTAGAAAGTGCGATGTATAATACCGTCGTAATCTTAAGTTCACTTTGATAGAATTTTAGAGAAAATAACGGACGATGAATATTTTTCACACACGCAACTATTCTCGCTTCCGATTTTTCTTTACACGAATACAATAAAAGTAAAGATTCGCTTTATTCGTAATTTGTGAGATCTGTCTTCAATTGTTGTATAGAAAATTGTGCAATAAGCAGAAACAAATAATTGTCACAAGAATAGTACGTGCGTTTTTTACATAAAATAATTTATTCTCTCTTGTATTGTATATCTGGTGAAAATTCAATTGCATTACGCTTACAGGCATTTAATATCGTTTTAGGCAGACAAACGCGCGCAATGAATGTTAAATATCTCATTGGAATAAAATACCGATCCATATCTAACGTGCAACGAGCGTCAATTGCACACCAAAAAACGCATCTCTCCCTAATCATTGTAATTCTTGCGTTATTTTTCCGACAACGAACGGGAACCATACAAGCTGTATATCGAACGGAGTCGGGCAAAAGTAATATTTCCAATAGCAATAAAATAATCATTCGATCAATAATGACTTTGTGCAATAAAACAAACGTACATACGATATATTAATTACAGTCGGATATCTGTAAAAAAAAAAGACTCCCTTTATCGCGATAAGAGTGAATAAAAGAATAGGTGATTTATCGATCACGAGAAACGGAACGCCCAACTCCGCTCCGAGCGTGGAAAAAGCGTTGTCGGATTCAAGCGGTTCTGTCAAATGCGAGGCTCATTTATTATTAGATTCTAGATTAAAGCGACTCTTTGATACTTTGATAAATCTGGCTGGTTTCCAAGACGAGTGAATTTACGGAGGAAAGACTGGTGATCAGCGGAGACAGAAAAAGCGCTACGCTTGTATAATTTACACACATTCGTACCAACCGCGTCAAAGGCTGAAACAATTAAATGAGACACTGTCGAGAAGAGAAAAAAAAGGGGGATAAAGGATTCAAACGCGCGGTAAAAAGAAATAAACAGAATTCGCCGAATAGAAGTCCTCCGCCTCGAGGAAATTAACGTTGCGATAAACAGGGAGAGATTTAATTGAGCGTATTTTTGCGAAAGACGATGTCGCTCGAAGACCCTCAGAAAGCAAAAAGAAAAAAAAATGAAAAAAAAAAACGCACCGAACAGCACCCTTACGATTTGGAGAGACGGCGAGAGATAGCCACGGTGGAAAAAAAAAGAACGACAGAACGGAAGAGGGGTGTGCCACCCCATTAAGGCCTATATATCGCACTCGTTTGAAAACTTATCGCAAGAATGCACACGAAGTAGCGTACACTTGCTGTACTACTGTTTGTTGACTCGAATAAATATGCGAATTAAAAAATCGGTTTGGTTTATAAGTACACGATGAGTCCAGGATTCGCGCGAGCAGAACGCTAATGAACGCCCGGGGAAGTGAAACCGGACTTGTTTCGCGAAATGTGCGTGTATTATTTGTGCGAAATAGTTTGAATTGAAATGGTATGTAAAAAAATGCAGAGAGAGAGAAAGAGAGATAGAGAGAGAGAGAGAGCAGTTTCGGACGAGCATGAGCGTTCCATGCGGCGCGCGACATTGTTATTATACGATCGTACTCAAGATGGCATGGTATACAAGACTAAGAACAAGACCTAAAATAGGGACATAATATTTTATAACTCAACTTTTGTACAGAATAAATAAATACTTGTACTGTGGACCAATATTTCTTTCATTTCATTCGCACCGAAACCATAATCGGTTAAATGTAATGCATTTTTAATGATCTTTCATTTCAGTAAGATTGTTAACAGGCATTTTTTATCTTAAATCAATCGTTAATGGTTATTATAAAATTCTTTAAAATCTTTATTTTACCTATTTTTAATATATGAAATGTGTCTTTCGTTTTGAATATACATAATTAAAAGTAAAAAATAAATGTGTTTTATGATTTATAAAAAATATGTAATGTCGATTTAACATACAGGCATTTCACAATTAAGGCCCCTTGCGCACTGTCGACTAAGTCGCCGGCGACTTGATTGCCGAGAGACTAGAAACAAAGATTAGTCGCGGCGTAAGCGCTTACAAATTCCAATATGCTCAGTGGTCGCCGACGAGCAAGTTGCCAGCGACTAGTCAACAGTGTGCAAGGAGCCTAAAGCATAATCAATTTATGTACATAGTACATATTAATCCTATATTCACAATTTCCTATTTATGTTTTTTGTTTACTTACTATTAATGGTATAATAACAGTAGCATTCTTTGCTTCTGGTATTCGCCACCATCTACCGTTTTTATGTTCAGTACCTACACCGGCAATGAGATGATTTCCGTCGGGAGTAAAAGCGAGCGAATTTATGAAACCTGCTAATTTAACTTCAAACAAGAGATTTAAAGATCTAAAGCCTTCGCCGCATTGCCACAATTTAACAACGCCATTTCGTGATCCTGAAAATTACAATATTTGAACAATGTAGATACGAAAACTATACGAAACTATACGAAAAATATGATATATATACGATGGTTATACCTGATGCTACTAAATCTGTATTCAACAATGTTGCGATACTTGAAATCCACATTGGTTGACCATTGGTTTCGTCTATTCCATGCGCCTCTACTACTGAACACAATGGCTTCTTCTTCAGACATCCCCAAACGCAGAGTTGTCCATCCTCTCCACCACTGATGAAATTTTCTTCATTTATAAGTTTAACAACATCGATGCTATGACCATTGTTATGTCCATTAAATATCAATTGCGATTCTTCAACTATTTTCCATATCCTAATAGTCCCGTCATAACCACCGCTCGTGATAGCACGCTCTCGTGAAAGCGCATCAATAGATGTGATTTTGTTTTGATGCCCGAATCTGTAAGAAAAATAATAATTAGACAAAACTTAATAATAAAACAAGGCAACGACGAAATGTTACCCAACTTACAAATAAAATTACTTACAAAGATTCAACATAAGCCATATCATCTAAATTCCAAACTCTTACACTTCTATCTTCAGACGCGGAATATAATGTGTGAGTACCTTTCCGGAATACCAATCCGGTCACAAGATCTCTATGACCTTGTAAATTCTTTATATGATCGAGGCTATCGCCAGAAAATATTTTTATATCTTTACACCCATCATCTCCTACTACCTGCAGTGAAACAAAAATGAGAATAGATATCTTAATTTGCTGCAATGTAAAATAAAAAAAAGGGTTTTATCTCAACTCACCAAAAATTTGTTATCTGTGCTAATGGCTAAACATCTTATAGATTTCATTCCATCTTTTGTTTTCCCTCTATTTCCTTTAATAGCTTTTAATTTAACCTTATCTTTTACTGACCCTAACGAATAACACAGAATAATGAATTGTTTAAAATATAAATGTACAATTAATGTTATGAAACACCAATAATTATTTTTAAAACATCTATTTATTAACTATTGTAAATTTAAATTTTTAAACTTACATTTTACTAAACTGCCATCCTTGGATCCCGAATATAATATATGGCCATCATTGGAAAGACAAATGCAAGTAATAGATGTTTTATGCTCTTTACATTTCAATGTAACTAGCTCATTATGACCAACATAACATACTGCTACAGTTTTCCTTAATCGACCCTTTTCTTCTAAATATTCTTCACGTAATCTTTTTGAAACTGTGCTCTCGTCAAATTCTACCCTATTTTTTTCTAAAATGTTAAAGATAATTTTAAAACATAAACATATCTCTTTTCAAGATAATATAAATGAAAAGTAAGAATATTTCACTGAATTTTTTTTACCTTTTTCTTCAATTTCTTTCAGATGCTGTTTTGCAAGCCTTAAATGTTTTTCCTGTGCAGTTTCCTCTTCTTCGTCAGTTTCATCTTCATATTTATATGTGTCATCTCTACAAGACAAATTTTTATAATTTTGTTTGATATTATATACTTTCAGCATAAATTTGATTCTCATTACCTTAAATTTTCTTCTGCGAGTTCCTCATCTGTACTAGCGATACTTTCATCATCGTCAGGTACAAATTTCTTTGTTTTCTTTGATTGCTTTGATGTAGATTGAGTTGTAAATGTTTTACCAAGATGGCCATTAAACTAATCAAAAAAATTTTTAAATTTTAATATATAATTATACATCTCTTGTCATGTATATGTTACACGCAAGTGAAATATATACATGTTTTGATATGTTGTATAAATGAAATGTGAAAATTACATACTATTTTATTAATTTATAACTCATAATAATTTATATATGTACAATAGAAATAATCGACATAATATGCAACATGAATATGATGCAAGTATGATAAAAATTGGGAAAAATATAAAATAACCGTACTATTTTGCTTCAATTTAATTATAACCTCTAAGCAAGAGAAACTTAAAATTTCTTTTTTAGAATAAAATAAGATAAATCGAGGTTTTTACTTTGCGTTTTTTCGTTCCACTTCCTCGGCCACCATTCCTTATGAAAAATGACATCACAATCTATATGAAAAATAACTTTTGTAAATTAAAATCTTCTTCGATCAAACCACGTGCGGCACAGCATGGCTCAATAAACAGTGTCGCCAGACGTGCATACAGGATGCGTTCTAAAATTCACTACTAGTACTGAAAATCTACAATATACGTTACGTAAACTATAGATTTCCAGTACTGGCAATGAATTTCACGTCAACCTCAATTGGGTTTAGTAACATCTGTAGTTATAAAACTGGCCAATCACAGTCATTCGCGAACGTACTCGTCTGGTTTCGTCGTATGCTCATGCTTGCACTGTTGCGCGAAGAATTTATCTTGCGCTGCGCGTGAACTTGGCGCGAGACACTACCGTGTGTCTCTTGATACCACGATCTTCAACTCGAAATCTCGTAACGGTAGCGGATCGTACGTCGAGATAGTGTTTATTACATTGTAATTATTTCTCGTATTTTTTGTTAATTGTAATTATTCTAATACGTCTATATTTTCACAGATCTTAATACTTGCCGAAAATTGGATTTTAATTTATAATGGCAGCAAGAGTAGCAAAGAAAACTCCGAGGAAAAAAGGTGGTTATGAACTGCCGGAAGCTATACCGGCGGGAGAAATTCTAACGGATATATGTAAGGGCCAATGGATTCTGGGCAAGTCAATCGGTGTCGGTGGTTTTGGAGAAGTTTATTCTGGTATGTACAACAAATTCTATCGTTAACATGTTTTGGAACTCATTGTTTATTACAATGCATTATGACAGACTAAATTGCTAAAGGGCCACTTTTTCCAACGTCGGTTAACTTTAACTGAAGGTTCTAACTTGCCAACAAAATTGCCAATATAAATGAAATATTGTCATTAAAAAAGAAAGATTTCAAATTTTTGTTATCTTTTATGACAATATTGTATTCTTCATGTTAGCAATTCTATTAAAAAATGAAACCATTGATTAACATTAATCGACGTTGGAAAAAGTGACCCAAAAAGATACAAAGGCAACAAACAAAGATTGTTTTTCAGCAAGGGATAAAAGTTGACACAAAAGTATTATTCTCTCTGTTGCTCATTAGATATTGAACAAAGATGGAATGATACTTGTGTCAACTTCTGTCATTAGCTAGAAAACAACTAAAATACATACTGCAGGATACTATTATCATGCAAAGAAGAATTAACATAAATGACTTTTTGCAAGAATTTTATAAGGACCTATATGCTACATTTATGAAAGATATACAAAGATTGGTAATTGTTTCCATTAATGAATAACTCCTGAAATTGTGACTAGAATATATATCAATAACTAATTCATATTTTTATCCTAAGAAATTGCCGATTAAATTAAAACAAATATTAATTAGTATTTAGCTTTCTAATATATGAAGGTTAAAATCACACATTTTTGAAATTGTTCTACCTTTTATGATTATGTTCATACAGATTGCATTTGATACTTTGACACAATGTATTCATAACTGATAAATATTTGGACAATTGTACATTATATAATTTGTTAATGATTGTTTTCAGCGGCGCCATATTCTAACAAAGTGCCAAAAAATTATCCCAATGTTATGAAAATTGTAAGTATCATTTCTCTACTTTTACTATATTTAACTTTGGTTATAATATATTTATATTTTTCAAAAATTGAATTCAGGAACCACATGGAAATGGTCCATTATTTGTAGAAATGCATTTTTATATGAAAAATTGTAAGGCAATTGAAAGTAAGTTTTATATATAATTGATTCCTATATTAAAATTGATTAATACTTGTCAGTTGTATAATGAAATATTTGAGAGATAAACATACAATGTCTTTTTAGTTGATAGTTGGCAGAAACAAAAGAAACTGGCTGTACTTGGAATGCCTAAATATATTGCTTCTGGTAGTCATGAATATAATAATAAAAAGTATCGATTTTTAGTAATAGATCGATATGGAACTGATTTATGCAAAGTATTTGAGAAGCATAATAAACAGTTTCCTGAACATGTGGTGTACAAACTAGCTTTACAAATAGTAAGTATCTGAAAAAGAAATTATTTGTTGTATATAATTTGTAATTTTCTGTTAATTTGCTAATATTTATATTATCTTCTTACTTTTTTAGATAGATATATTAGAATATATTCATGACAGAAATTACGTACACGCTGATATCAAAGGTGAAAACCTGTTACTGGAATTAAATGCCTATGATCAAGTTTATTTAGTTGACTTTGGTTTAGCTTCTCGCTGCACAAAATTAACTGAATTAAAAGTTGATCCAAAAAAGGCACATAATGGCACATTACAATACACAAGCAGAGATGCTCATATGGGAGGTAAAAATTAGAAATTTTAAAAAGAAATATTTGATATGATTTGTTGTTTCTTTAATTTAAAATATGAAAATAATTATTACATTTTTAATATATATTTCTTCTTATTTTCAGTGCTAACACGACGTGGTGATATGGAAATTCTAGGCTATAACATAATTTTCTGGTTATGTGGTTCATTACCATGGGAAAAATTATTAGACGCGACTGTTGTTCAGAAAGAGAAAGAAAAAGCTTTTAAAGATATAGATAGTTTTTTGAACAAGTGTTTTCATAAATTAGTTCCACAGGCTGTACATAAATTCATAACTTTATTAGCCAGTATAAAATTTAATGAAATACCACCATATGAAAAGTTTAAGGAAATATTAATAGCTGGTTTAAAAAAACTAAATCACAAACCAGATGGAAAATTAAGATTAAATAGCATTGATACATTGACTCAACAAAATATTGCTAAATCCACACCTAAATCTACACCTAAATCTACACAAAAATTAAAAAAACTGGTTGACAAAGCTAAAAAAAGCCCTAACACAACACATATGGATGCTCCAACTCCTGTGAATTCAAGAAAAAGTACTATAGGTGTTGTGATGGATAAAAAACGTGGTAACG